TGTCAGATTTTGTTTATTTTGGGGAGGTCGAGATAAATCATATTGTTTGGTGGATGCAGTTTGAACCAGAGTAGCAGCATGGAGGTCAGATCGTCACCAAAATAAATAAATAAGTGGTCCGAAAAAGGTTCATGACAAAAAAAATACACATAGCCTTCCTCAGGCAGTGTGTTTGTACCGGGGACAGGAGACACCCCTTGATGAGAAACTGTAAGAAATGATCGGGGAATCCCTCCGGAGTGGAGTCATGACGACTGGATCTGAATTATGTTTTCGTATTTGGTGGTTTGTGTCCCAGCTGTCGATCAGCTGTGCGCAGCGTCTCCACTGCAGCAACTCTATATATTTGTGCTTAGTGCGTACGCATGGGTTAGAGTTTGCGTGGAGGACCGCACGTTTTCCGTCAAATTAGTATTTTATAAATCGCAACATTGCGTAGAAACATTTTTTGAGCGAATATCCCTTTATAAATGAGGCCCCTGGTCTCTGGACTGGACCTGGGGTCTCATTTATAACGCCGTGCGTAGGATTGACGTAGGAAGGTTGCTTACGTAGTAGAAATCCGAAAAATAGGTCCATACATTTTCCGCCACTTTCCGATTCACCAAACATTGCGTACCGGCGAGGAAAGTGCGTATGACACTTCCTACGCCGGTTTCCCTTTATAAATCACAATCGACTCGAAATGCGGTGCAGATCTTGCGGGCATCACATAAGGCCCATATTTGCCTATAAATAGTCAAAGAAACGCCCTTTCATTCATTCATTTTTGCATGGAGAAGATCGCAGGAAATGACGACAGAACAGCTAAAAAAAACATCTCACACCGTGTCAGATTTTGTTTATTTTGGGGAGGTCGAGATAAATCATATTGTTTGGTGGATGCAGTTTGAACCAGAGTAGCAGCATGGAGGTCGGATCGTCACCAAAATAAATAAATAAGTGGTCCGAAAAAGGTTCATGACAAAAAAAATACACATAGCCTTCCTCAGGCAGTGTGTTTGTACCGGGGACAGGAGTCCTGTCCCCGGTACAAACACACTGCCTGAGGAAGGCTATGTGTATTTTTTTTGTCATGAACCTTTTTCGGACCACTTATTTATTTATTTTGGTGACGA